TTGAAAACCAGAGGTTCTGGGATCAAGCCCCACTCCCACAGACTGCTGCTAAGTTCAGATTCATGGGATGCGTCCTCTGAAGGCCAGATTTGTTGGCCGATTATGTCATAGCATGGTGCCGAGGTCTATTCGCGTGGTCCCTCTGCCTCCAAGGACAAACATTCAGGGGATATTCCCAATGTGGCCTCAGCCAGGTCCACAGGAAAAGAGTGAGGGAGGTGGGTTCACAAGGTTTTATAAGCTGAGGTCATAGATTAGTGAACTGCCTGTGATCCAATCTGGGCAAAACCTGATTTTGAATATTTAGATATTACTGCATGTTTTCCAACAGTGTCTAACTTGGTTGGTTTGCCAAATTGCAGTTAAAGCTACAGTGTGTAATAATTACAGGGATATACAGTCAGAAATGTAATATATTATACATAACTATGTTATTTTATCATCATCTACGAGCTCAGCCTCTTAACCTTAATATTTGCGTTGCCTTAGAATTTGTTATTTATAATTACATAAGAACTGGTCTCGCAGCCATGGAGGCAGACATCTTTGCGCTACGGCAGCGCAGAGCCAACAAACTAGTGACTGCGAGATCGCCAAAATGTCACAACGATGTAGAAAAAATAACGGGTATATTTATTATCTTAAGTCTTCATGAAATCTATACCCTACACAGACTAATGAAATACTATCTGTAAAATTTTCTATGTAAACAAACCTTATCACTTGAGAAGGTAGGTGATGCGGACGTCGTGGAAGACATTTTGTCCCGTAACGCTCGCCGTACTGTTGGGGGGGGAGAAGCGGTGGGCGCGAGATGTTCATGTTGCTGCAGTCTGCAGTCTGACCGCTAGATGTCGCTAAAAGTTACACACTGTAGCTTTAAATAAAAGAGGAAGAACAGAAAAAGAGTAGGTATTGGCCCTATCACAAACCAGCCACTAAACACTAACCCTGAGCACTAACCCTTCATTTGCATGTTCCCGCAGAGGGTCCGCCACATTAGGTGCCATCCCAAACCACATAGTGGGTAGGGCCAGTGAAACATTCAGCCCTTAAATAGCGAGTCTGCATCGGTTGCAGGCTCGCTGGAATTTGGAAGCAAGTGTAACAGTGGCCTTGTGGAGGAGGAAATACATTCCACCAAATGTTAATTCCATTGGTTTGCTGCATCTTCATCACACTGACAGAAAATCACAAGTTAGTTTATACAAAAAAAACTTAATTATTTCCAAAATGGAGGGTCCCCTTTGAAATAGTTATATTTGACTACATAAATTTGTTTTTAAAAAGGGGCAGACCTTCAATAAAGGCACCTTCCACAGCTGTGAGTATGACTTTATTGTGAGTGCCTCTTGATTGTTAAGGGTTAGTGGTAAGGGAGCAGTTTGAGATTCAGCCTAAGAGTGCACTGTTGAAAGAAGCACCGTGAACTGGAGAAAGCACCACCATGCTCACAATTAGGAAAGTAGAACCAGGAAACATTGCAATGGACCGGCGACCTGATCAGGGTGTACCCCACCTTTAGTCCATAGACTGCTGGGTATATGTAGGCCCACCAGCCCACCGCGACCCTGACAGATGAAACAGGAGAAGATGGATGGATTGACACAGAAAACACATCTTTTAAAATAGATTTGACTGATAGGCACCTGTTTGTCGTGTGAGAAGCACCAAACCAGATGTTTCATTTGTTCCGATGGCATAGTACGATTGCCCCTCCAGAAGCATGGTCATTCCTCATCAATGTATTAATGAGTGTTCTCTAAGAATTGTGTTGATATTATGATTACATAAAAAAGAGTTCAGTGATGCGATAGTTGACCAAGAATGTATGAATACAGGTGTCGTGGCAGTGCTTCATAGAAAGCAAATAGTTTGCCAAAACATAAACCAAATCCCTTTGACAGCAGCATCAACCATAAGTTAAACAGAAATAGTAACATGTGATGTACTAGCAAAGCTAGATCAGGTGGTTCAAAAGGTAGAAATCACTTTGGCTGTAGATGAATCCACTGATATAACTGGCAATGCCCAGCTTGTGGTTATTTTGAAGATTCTATAACAACAAGGAAAATACAATGTTTGAAGATCTGTTAGGTGTGGCATCTCGAGAGAGTAAAACAAAAGGGGAAGATATCTACCAGGCAATACAGAAAATGTTAACAGAAAGGGGAATAGATGTGAGTAAAGTGGTTTCAATCACAACAGATGGAGCCCCGGCCGTTTTGGGCAGATCAAAAGGAACAGTGGAAAAAATAAAGAGGACCACCCTGAACAAATCTCTTATCATTGTATAATACACCAATCAGTCTTGTTTGCCATTATCTCAGATCAGAAAGGTCTGCTGATGTGATTAACGCAATGATGAGAATCTTCTCTGCAACATTGCCTGCTAAGAGAGTTCCTGAGAAAGAAGTTGAAGCACTTACTGGCTGTCCAGAAATGAGTTAAGGGAGACACGAATAGATACGTATGTTGAATTGTGAACAAAGTGATCAAACATTTTGGGAAACGGTTTTACAGTTTCAGGTGTAGGGTGAACTGGAACTGGCAGATCTTCAGTCCTATGTGGTATTAAAAGGACAGGTTGGGGTGTGTGATGCTAAATCTTTCTGTATCCAAACAGTCTCAGAGAAAAAGATGGATGGATTTTTGAGTATGTTTGTCTCAACCTACTACTTTGAAGTAACATTCTCCACCATGACCATAGTCAAAAATAGATATAATTCCAGGCTTACCAACGAGGGCCTTGATATGTGCTTTAGAATGGCTTTGTCACTGTTCAAGCCCAGCTTTAAAGTTCATGCAGGCAGCTTAAACCCCATTTCTCTAATGAAGCTGGGGGAAAAAAACAGCTAGTTCAGGGTTTTTTTTTTTGTTTTTTGTTTTTAAAAAGATGTTAGTTGTGAAAGTCAGAAAACTGTCTACCACATTAAAGGTTTTTGTTCTCTATTTTAAGAAAGCAGAAAGTTGCATTTTAATGTTATTCTTTTAAGTGAAAAGTTAAAGCACATATGGTATATAAACAAAAAACAATGTATAACTGAATTTATTGTGTTAAATAATAATAATTTAACTTTATTGATCTCACATTGGAGAAATTCACCTCTGCATTTAACCCATCCCCTTGTGGAGCAGTGGGCTGCCATCATGGGGCGCCTCGGGAGCAATCGGGGGTTAAGAGTCTTACCCAGAGACCCAGAGCATCATTTTTAAATGCTTGTAAAGTAAACTAATTCAAATAAAAGATGTCACCAGACTTTTATTGATTATTGATCTCCTTTGCTCAGACCCTGCTGATTCTTAATTAGTGACTCCGGCTTTAAGTCATGCTTGGCAGGGGGTCTCAGGATGTCCTTTGAAACCTCTTCCTTTTGGGAGTGTCTTATGGAGGGCTCTCAAGTTGAGAAAGCAAACCTACATCCTGTTTTTAAAGTTGCAATCCTATGCTCCTTTACAATTCATGCTTATGTTGATCTCGAGAATTATGTGGCCCAACACCATTATTTACTTTGCTTGCTCTTGCATGGTTTTTTATACTTATGGGTCTCCATGTTGCTGTGTGATGGACTGGTGATCTGTCCAGGGTGTGCAGATCGCCATTCAAGCTAAAATAGCACAAAAGGGTCGGGTATACATGTGCGAAATCAGTCAACCCTTTGGTTATTCTGTATTAAACAGCATGAAATGTTAAATATGTCTAAATACTATGGAATAAAAATGTTACTAAAATTTTTGGGGGCTCTTCCGACATTAGATCTGGACGCGTAGATAAGAAAATGACTTCTTCTGCATGTAGACAGTATTTTTTATTCTATTTTTTATTCATATATCCTTTTCTGTACTTGTGAAGATCTTTAAGAGTCAAAGTGAACTGCGTGTGTATTTTGAACAGTTTTATATACAAGAGGAAGAACTTGTATGAGCAGTTGTGTAACCCTGTTTTGGCTAAATTATGGGGTTCTCATTAGACAGAGTATAAATATTTGCATGTGCAGGGCAGATCTTGCTGTGAAAGCAGCTTGCTGCCTTTGAACAATAAAAAAAAGAAAAAAATCTGCTGCTTATCAGCAAAACAGAGTGGCTCCAAATTTGGGAAAAGAAAGAAAGAAGGAGAGGAACAGATGTTGCGGATGAAATGTGCGAATGTGCAGGAGAGAAATAGAGTCCTTCATTCTGAGCACGTCTGTAGTGAAGATTGTAACAAGTAAGACTTTTAACAGAAGGACTACATAATTGTGTTAGCACTCAGCCCACTCAGAGGTGCTGTTCTTTTTGAATGTCTTCTTATACACTCATGCATGAGCCATAAGTCTCTCCTAATCAGTTATCCTCACATTTTCAGCACACGAGTGAACACAAACTGTCAGTTAGATTTCAGAAAGACTGAGGACAGCCTGTTTGCCTCTTGACATCTCTTCCTAGCTCTTACCCATGTGACCTCGCAAAGCAAGACAGGCACTATTTCTGAAAGTAGAGATTTATGAGTGAGCTAAGACCTTTTGTCCTCCAGAGCCTTCTGTAGGGCTCTACTCAGATCCCTAGAGTTACGGCTTTCCAACAGATACAGACACTCAGAGAAAGAAAATGCACTTTGCTTAGAATGTAAAGTTTATGAATTTGCAGTGACAGAATGGCATCATATTTAACAGACTGATATTAATGCTACAAAAAGAAATGTTATTTTATGGCAAAACATAGAAAAGTTCTGCAAAATAAATAAACTTCATAAAATTTGAATTACAAATAAAAAAAGAATACCTTTTTTATTTTATTTTAAGAGGCAGGTTGAGGTTTTTATGAAAAAAAGGTTTTCATGATTCCTGATTTGGGTTGAAAACATCTGGATTACTTATTATTTGCAAGTATATTTCAGAAAAAGAGCTGATCCCCCTTTTTACTCTGTCTTATTTTTTATTCTCCTGACCCAACCCTACATCTCTTCAATCTATCAAAATGATCTCCATTCTTACCTACTTTGTTTGGTTTGCCATTTACAGGCTATGGCTTTGTGGATTTTGACAGCCCTGCAGCAGCCCAGAAGGCTGTGGCCTCGCTTAAAGCAAGTGGAGTCCAGGCACAGATGGCGAAGGTAAGCTTCATATCACCCTGCTATTGCTAGTTGGATAAACCTCTGGGTTGATATAGTTCTGAGTTATGAGCCTCAACTACCACTGTCCTGTAAGTTTTAGATTTATCCTCATTACCACATGCCTGACTCATATAAAATAATGATAAACAGGCTTCTACAGAACTTGATGTCTGCTGAGGATGTCATGCAATCATTTGAATCAGGTGTGCTGCAACAGAGACACATCTAAAACATGCAGAACAGGGGCACTTAAGTAGCAGACACGAGAACTACTGCTCTAGGAGTTGAGGTTTTGGAGGTTTTAACAAACCTAAGGAAAATTAATGCTCATAAATGCAGAAGGCTGCTCCATATGATGATGATGTATTTTTGAATGACATAAAACGTCTCAATGATTTTTGCCTTTAGTTTATGTTACATTTATTTGTTAGACTAAATGTTGGCGTCATGATGGAGTGAAATAGCGGCGAAATACTAAAGTAAAAAATGTGGTTAACCTTTCAACTAGAAGTTGAATTATAAAATATTAAAGTTTATTAATAATAAATAAATAAAATAATTAATTAAAATGATTACACATCTGAAAACATTGTACACTAATCTGCACCATTTTAATGTGAATGGACAAGAAAGCCGCAATATATTTATGTAGATGTGTGTTTGCTTTTTTTGTTTATAATTAAAGAACAACAAAGAAAAATAAAGAAACAACAGAAAAAATAAACACTAAATTTAATCATTGCTTTTTTTTTTTTTTTTTAAACTTCCAAAGAGACCGGCATACTCTTTCTTCTGTTTTGCTACTTAATTTCCACAGTATTCTATAGTATCCCAACAGTTTGTTAATTTTTTTTGTTTGAATATAAATTCAGTGTGAACTCATCTGGCTTAGTTATACCCCTCAAATATGTTGACATCTTATAATGTTACCCATAGAAGCATCTATCTGTGTATTTTATATAATAGAGCATGGAGCAGAATGATGAGAGGACTTTTTTGTTTTTAGTCTCAAAGTTACAAAAGGTGTGGTATTTCCATGAACCCTGCAGTCTGACTCATCACTTTTGATAGGCTATCATGTATTACTGTAGTAGCTAGACAGTTCACATGGGTTCACAGGTCATATTTTATTTTTGACATTTTATTTGTCAAAAAAAATATAAACAAAAATAAATAAAAAGCAAGCATCACATCTATTCTACCTCTTCGCCATTTGTTGCTTTGTGCTGGGCGGTGACATCAACTCACAATAAAATACATGGGTTTCATTCAGTCTTTACAGAAAAAAAAAGACTTGAATGGATTTGAATACCTTTTCAAAGCAAACTAAGTGACACTTAGACTGAACAGAGTGGTGGAGACATAATGTGATGAAACTGGAAGTTAGATTACTTTATTGTTCTTTCACATAAGCCTTAGCTGAAAATATTGGCACACTCATTAATCTTAAAAGTGGCGGTATGGGGAAACTGCTTCATGTCTGATAGCTGCTAAGCCTCGGATATAAAATATTTTTCCAATAAACTCCTATTAAAGACTGAGACATTCTGTAATGACACACTCAAAGACAATTAATTTTACCCACAAGTCATTATGGTGTCATTAGCAAGAGCGACTCACTCCTGCTAATCATTATGGGCCACTTGAACATCATCCAATTATTAAAGAGATATTAAGTCATAAAGATTTCAAAGATCTGTCAAACGCCTTTTGCACAGATATGGTCAAATCTGACTCCTACGCTTCCAAGTACAAAGCTGACGACCTTTAAACAGCAGCTCACAGTGAAATATAAATGGTGAACATAGCCATGGGCACAGTTTGTGCGATGCCTAAATTGTAAAGGGAAACTATTGTTAAAAAAAACGTAAAAATATTTCAATAAGGTGTTTCTTTATACATGTGTTGTGAATGTTGTTCTGTACATAATTGTGTGGCAGGACGACAGGTACAGTATAAAATAATGCTACTCTATATAAGTTTGGCACCTGTGCCTACAAAACTGAAAAGGTTGTACAAGATACTCTCAGTACAGATATCAGCTCTGTCACATATGAGCAGTCACTTGTAGAGATGTTTAATCACTTGAATATTTTGGCCTGGATGAGACAAGTGCCCTACTTAGCTGGGGTACAATTTCTGCTACATTCATCCATATTAAGGAAAAACAAAAAACTCTTTGTCATCAATTCCACACCCAAACAGCATGATATTTGACCGGCTTTTGTTTGAGTCGCTGTAAGATTCTGCACCAGCGTAATTCCACAAAGCAAAAGACCCCCTTCTTGTCCCTCTCGCCTCCACCAGTAGTGTAGTGGTCCCTGGAGAAGTGGGTATATTCGCCCTCTTTTTTAATGCAGCCCAGAAAAAATGAGATGTAAGACCACTCTATGTAGTCTACCCAACACTTCCTTTGTAGAATTTACTTAATGTCATATAATATTTGCTATTTGATCTCCTGCAGGAAGGATTATGAAATAACCAAACACTGGCCCATAGACTAGTGAGAAACAATTATGGATAGTGAGTGGACTATTCCTTATTCCAGAGTCCATCCACATGGATGACACCTATTCTCTCACTTAGCAAGTCAGTAGTTTATTTTGTGAACTGTGTCTTTGAGTAGCTGACTGGCAACAGTTAGTGTGGGCGTCTATTAAAATGAACCTAACTTAATCAGATTCTGTGTGACCAGTTTGTTGAAATTACTGGTCACACAGGCAGCCTGCATGAATATAAAATACTAATGAGGCAAACATGGTGTTTCAGTTATTTATTTTTTATTTTTTTTTAAATAACAAAATTAGATGTGAATCTGACATCCCTGTTCATACTTCAGCTTAGATTTAAAAATAAAAACCAAACACATCAAAACAAATTGGATAAACTGAAAATTTGATAAACTCTTAAACATGAAATAAAGACTACTTTAATGTAATTCATTGGATATATATATATATATATAAGCCAATGCAAAGCCAATAGCACAAGTCACCATCAAGTGCGGCATATACCAGGGTGATGCACTATCCCCACTGCTGTTCTGCATAGGCCTGAACCCCCTCAGCCAGATCATCACAAAGACTGGCTACGGATACCAATTCCGAAGCGGAACAATCATCAGTCACCTCCTCTACATGGATGACATCAAGCTGTATGCCAGGAGTGAGCGAGACATCGATTCACTGATCCACACTACCAGGATCTACAGCAACGACATTGGGATGTCATTCGGACTGGACAAGTGCGGTCGCATGGTCTCAAAGAGAGGGAAGATGATCAGAACCGAGGGGGTTGAACTACCAGAAGGCCTCATAACAGATGTTCAGGACAGCTACAAATACCTTGGGGTGCCACAGGCTAACGGAAACCACAAGGAGATGGCAAGAAAGACTGCCACAGCTAAATACCTACAAAGAGTAAGGCAGATCCAAGCCATCAACACATATGCCCTACCAGTCATCAGATACCCCGCTGGTATAATAAACTGGCCAAAGGAGGAGATAGAGGCTACTGACATCAAGACGAGAAAGCTCCTCACAATGCATGGAGGGTTCCACCCCAAATCCAGCACTCTGAGACTGTACACCAAGCGTAGCGAGGGAGGCCGAGGGCTAGTGAGTGTCAAGACCACTGTCCAGGATGAAACAACTAAGATCCAGGAGTACATCAGAAAGATGGCCCCCATAGACAAATGGCTCGGTGAGTACCTCGGGCAGGAGAAAACCGAAAGTGAGGACAAGAAAGAGGAAGGAGAACCATCATGGAGGGACAGGCCGCTGCACGGCGTATACCACAGACAAATAGAAGAAGTGGCTGATATCAAAAAATCCTACCAGTGGCTGGAAAAGGCTGGACTGAAGGACAGCACAGAGGCACTAATCATGGCAGCACAAGAACAGGCACTCAGTACAAGATCAATAGAGGCCAGGGTCTACCACACCAGGCAGGACCCCCGATGCAGACTGTGCAAAGATGCCTCTGAAACAATACAGCACATAACAGCAGGGTGTAAAATGCAGGCAGGAAGTGCATACATGGAACGCCACAACCAGGTAGCTGTCATAGTGTACAGGAACATCTGCCATGAGTATGGGCTGGAAGTCCCAAGGTCAAAATGGAAGACACCTCCTAAGGTAGTTGAGAATGACCGAGCTAAGATCCTATGGGACTTCAAGATCCAGACTGACAAACAGGTGATGGCTAACCAACCAGACATCGTGTTGATGGACAAACAGCAGAAGAAGGCAGTAGTGATAGATGTGGCAATCCCAAGCGACAGCAACATCAAGAAGAAAGAACACGAGAAGCTTGAGAAATACCAAGGACTGAAGGAGGAGCTAGAAAAGATGTGGAAAGTGAGAACAGCAGTGGTGCCAGTGGTAATTGGAGCACTGGGGGCTGTGACCCCCAAACTGGGAGAGTGGCTACAGCAGATTCCAGGTAAAACATCAGAGGTCTCTGTCCAGAAGAGTGCAGTCCTAGGAACAGCTAAGATACTGCGCAGAACCCTCAAACTCCCAGGCCTCTGGTAGAGGACCCGAGCTTGAGGATGACACATACCACCCCACGAGGGGGGAGAAAACCTTTTTTTTTTTTTATACATATATATATATATATATGATACGTATATCATATAATGATTGGAATTCATCATTCAAATTATTCAATGAAATATATCTAACATAATAATATTTAATATAAAAGATTCATTAATAACACATTAAGAGTGATATATACTTTTAACCCACTACTGTTGAGCCCTGACATCATTTATGAGGTCCAACAATAAAAATGGCCCAAGTCCACCTAGCATAGTTGATGTTGTCATCAAATGTTGTACTGAAATCTTTGGCTAAGGGCGAAGAGGCACCTTCCCCTTCACTGCGAGCATCTTGTCCGAGGGGGGGGGGGGGGGGGGGGGGGAGCGGTCATCATCACTAGGCTTAACTGCTTAACCAGCAGCAGCAAAAAGACAGATAACGTCAATGTTTGCAAAA